CAGCCGTAACTTCTTCATAGACCATCGAGTTCGTAGAAAGTCGCTGAACTGTACAATGCGATGCCGGCATCCCTTGAAAGTGCGTCTCCAACTTCGTATGTGCTATGGTAGCAAATTGATCAGGTATCTCGAAGTTTGTAATTTCCTTGGGACAGTGTTTGATTGCAATATTTCGTTGCGTCTTCGCCCGTCCAATTTCCTGATTTACTATATCCCATATTCGTCTGGGCTTATTTGCAACTTTTCTCTATTCAAGGTAAAGTTGGCTGAGTTCCTGACTAGTGTCTTGCCTTTTCCATGAGGAATACAAGGATCTTAAGTTTTGGCTAGATTTTTGTATCTCAGGAGTTACCCAAGGCTTTGTCACTCAGTTTAAGAACAACAAACTCACTCATCTGTTAATAGTCCCTTCATAGCGATGTTCGAGGTATTCCGCCACGTTGAATGCACATCCATATTTAACCATAAGATAAAAGGAGAAAGGTAGCAAATAATTTTATTTCGAAATTATCTGCGAAACTTTACTCTAATTCAGTATCGTATCTCACGGTTTCCGAGATCTTAATCTTATGAATCTAAAATGCCGCTAGCTGAGAAAATGTAGGAAATAAAAGTAAAACCTATGGGTGATGAAAGCATCCATATTATTTTGAGCGTATGATTAGCAAGTTAAATGAATGTTGTTTTTTCAGGAAACAGTTATTAATCGAAATAGCCACTAATTCAGATCTGACGTCCGACAAATTCAGGGAAGTGCAGAGAAAGATAGAGAGCAGTATCGAATCTATTAAACCTAGCGAAGAATATAAGGATTTCACGGAAAAACACAAGTAAGTTTTTCGCATGACTCCAATTGTCTGGAAGAATTAAACCACATATACAGGATGTGCAAAGTATTCCGTGGAGAGAAGTACCACATATTCTTAGATCGAAATAAATCATTTTTTCAGATATTTTTGGAACCAATAGTCCGACTTGAATGAAATTTGGAATACTTATGTCTTGCTAGACGTTCTAACGTTTCACTTTTACGAAAAACTCTAAACGGTTCGAGAAAGGTGAAAACTACCCCCACCCCTGTATAAATTATAGCATAATTTTTTAGGACAGGGATTATTGGTACCTTGTTAGTTAGTCATTTTGTACAATACGTCTTACCTGAATCATTAGAAAAACTGCCTCTGAACGGAAGAAGCGACATGTTTTAACACGCTTACAGTATATTCAGATAAGAGATAGACCGGACATAAACAAGACCACGTGATCATCGAACGCTGTAACATTCGGCAGGGACGTATTAAGAGTCACGCAGTACATATTTTAGATAGTAGATGCTGCTTTGCGTAACTTTGTAGTAAATTAGCACAATTCGATGTGTATAAGATTGGTGATGGATATAGGATCATGTGGGGGTGGGGTAAGAAATATATAATGATGTAAATATACATAAGGGTTTCAAAATTTTCGCTTCGATTTCCAGCTTCGGATGCCGCCTGATGTTTGGTGAAATACAGTCGAATATAATCTCAAAATGGCGTTTAAATTAGCCTAAATTAAAAATAATCGTATATCTCTTAAAATTGCTTTTAGAATATTGATTAGTATATTTTTTGATTTCTAGGTAAATATGTAACCAAATTAAAACGTTCAAAACGTAAAAAAAATGTGCATGGTTGAACATTGTCAGAAAGTAGATTCTTGAACAGGTTTTGCCAAAATGGGTTCAAAAATGTCAATAATTAATTAAAAAATACAGTAGCTTTATAATTACTTATAACTTACCGAATTTGATGAACGACATCTTTTATTGGAAAGATGAGCTTGATGAGCTTTCATCATCGCTACTGCCTGAAGCACCAACGTCAATAATGACTGGCTCGACTTGTTCCTCTAAAATATTGTCCAGTTCCCACATTCTCTTTTCAACTTTGTCTTTCACGTGCTTAATACAGTTTTCCCATTTTTGCGCTGTTATTAATTCTAGTGCTTCTTTGAAAAGTCCTTTGAGGTCACAAAATTTAAAAGTTGTATTGTGCTTAGCTATATAATTTTTAACCTCTGCTCATATGAGCTCAATGGGATTGAGCTCGCAATGGCATGGAGGTAAACGGAGCACAGTTTTATTTTGACTTGCTGCCATTTCGTCAATGGCGTATTTTTGATATTCCGCCTTGTGATCCTTGACAATCCTTAATAATTGTACTTTCAGCATTGCTTCTTCAAAGTTGATATTTTTCGAGCGGAGCCAATTTTGAACATCAACTTTCCTTGAAGCCGTTGTTGGGACCTTCTCCATTCTTCGAGAATGATAAGGCGCATTATCCAACACAATTACTGCGTTTTCCTCTAAGTTCGGTAAAATTTTTGAAAACCACTGTTCAAACGATTCGCCATTCATTTCCTCGTGGTAATCTCCAGTTTTCTTAGACTCAAAGCACCACAGACCGTCAACAACAAATCCATCCTCGCTGCCAATATGGCAGATAATGAGCCTTTTCCCTTTACCTGGAAATAGAAGTACTAACTGGTGTAGATTTATTTCAATAAGCGAACCTTTTTCAAATGTTTTCATCACATTCAGCGAAAAAGCATTGAGACATGAGTATCAGATTGCTATAATTGGGATTATTTAGTCATATTGAAAGAAAGAATATTGAACGTCGTATGATTACTCAGCGCTTCACAATTTAATTTAAAGTTATAAACCTTTAAAAAATGAATTATCAGGAACCTGAAATACGCGCAAATATTAATATTAACAAGTTATAACTTTATAAAGCTTAAAGTATGAATTAAAATGATTAGAAATATTAGGAACGGTACACAATATAAAACTTAGTAACTTTTTTTAAGTTTATAATATTCGACATATTTTAAGATTATATTAAAAAATTATTGAAATATCGAAAACACATAAAAACATGGCTTAAAAAAGTTCTAACAAATGAAAATGACAATAAAACATCCACGCATTTTATCGAAAGTTATAAAAGTTTTGTTACTTGTAATATGTTTTATCTGCCCCCTGGAATTAATGTTTAGAACCTTGTTCCCAAGGTTTGAAAAACATCCGATTGTTGTCTATTACTCGTATTTAC